AACTAAAGTGCTGTGACACTACAGACCATTAGTTCAACCTTTATAGATCTTCTGGCATCTAAAAAAAAAAGGTTTTAAGTGCTGAAAGACTCACCTTCAGGACCCACTCATACTCTCCAAACTTTGAGTCGAAGGTGCCTTTCTGTAGAGAGCGGAGTTTAAGGGTGAAGCGTGGTCCCAGCTCCTGAATGCCAACTTTCTTCTCATTCTTGAAGATGTACCTTTGAAAGATGCAAAGAAATGTTTATTAGACCTTCTACCTTTAAGACAAACCTTCTGAAAAGTTTTGCAAAAGGCAGGTTAGATTAGAAGGCATCATGTCCAGCTCCAAGTCAGACTTTGCACTTTAAATATTCACCTGTGGAATCTGAAAAAGATGAAGTCTCTCTGGTTGTGGAAGGTGGCGACCTGTCGACCCACAAACTGGGGGTCTTGCGGAAAGAGAGCAGCGAAGAGCCGGCCGATGCTGTGGCCCAGACGTGTGGAGAAGTTGTTCAGGATCACCTCTGGTGAGTGCTCTGTGGGACCTTTACCCCGTCTCTGCAGAGAAAAAAGTAAAACGTTTTTTTTGCCTTATTATTATTAGTGATAAAATGAAACTGACATTGATGGTTGTGCTATTAAATTTAGTAATAGTCACACATTTTAAATACAGTACAGTAAGTGTACTGTATTGCCTATTTTTAACTTGATCAAACCAGAGTATGTAAGAGTGACACAAGTATGGATTTCTGTACTTGCCTTTATCTCCTTCCGTAGTCGAACACTGCTGACCTTGAAGTGTGCAGTCGGCCCGTCAGGTAGGTGACAAAGAACCATACCATCTAAAAGTTACAGTTAAGGAAACTGCCCTTAGGAAAGTCAGAAAACCTACAGCCCACGTCAGCAAAAGTACCAAAACAGGACTCAAAGTTTTCATCCAAATTACAAGAGTGTAATGAATACAAGAAAATATAAAGCAGTACAGGGCATTATGCATCATCCTCCTCTCTCCTGTCACAGCTGCTTTTAAGGATACTGGGCACTTTGCGATCCTCGTTGATGACAATGAGGTATGTGAAGTTCCTGGCGACGCATTGGGGAATGACCCTCTTCAGGGCCAAACCTCTTCTGTAATACACGTGGGCATTTGGGATTACTGTGGCCAGCTGCTCACAAAACCTCACCGTCCTCTGTAAGACAGACATCAGCGTGTTGAGAGGACAGTGTTTGAAAATAACAAATGAAGGACAATCCAGTACAATACATATCAGTACATTGCCAGTAAAATTTCAATCAACACATGCTGACTGACAAAGCCACAGCATTTTATTTACTGCTGCATTATGCCAAGTTACAGACCTTAGACTTAATTGTTTTCTAATTCAAGAGACTCCCATATCAGGTTAAATTAGAGTGCGGCTGAAATAAAGAAGAGAGCCTAACAATCTAAGCCTTTACATTATTGCTCAAATTTAATTAACAGGCGCAAGAATGATCGCATACATGTATACATGTATGTAAACACTAAATTTCGTGTGTACATCGTGGAGTACAACTTCACATAGTCAAAAGCAATTCCTCAAGTGCATGTTTACTGTTGGCTGACACAAAGATTACTTTGGTGAAATGATAAAAACAAAAAACAAAAAAAAAATTATACAGGCATGCAAATTGTCAAGTAGCAGCTACTCACCCCTCTGGGTCTGTCTGATGTTGTGATGAGCACTTTTGGGTTCGTGAGCCCATTGAAATAGGCAGAAAATTCATCAGTTGCCTCGTCGAATGCAACCTATAGATGACAAAAACACACAAAATTAACAGTAATTCATGACAAATATAACCTGAGAACATTTGAACAAACTCAGCCAAACCTGGTCCATACCTCTTCATCTTCTGGGTCAACTGTTGTCTCGTCATACACCCTCTGGTTCTCTATTGTCTTTGGGACCTCTTTTGGTGGTGCCTACATGATGGACAGAATTAATAAGGTAATAAACTCACCAAAATTAATGAGACTGGCTTGTTTAATAGTAAACTTCATCAATCTGGGAACCCAAGTGATAAAATCTATTTTTGAATGACAATGGACACATTTGGTAGAAGAGACAGAGAAAAGACTCACCTTGTCACCTAAAGCTTCCCTTTCTTTTTTCTTCTTCTTCCTCAGCTGCATCTTTTGCTGAAAAGAAAAGAAAAATTAAATTCCAGGTGAAGGCTTCTAACATATTTACTGTAGTAGTGAAAGTTGATTAATGAATCAATCAATTCCTCTTTTGTCAGAAAATTATCTGGATAACCTGTGATGTAGATAGTAAAAATACCACACATTATCTGGTTACAGGTTTGCAAGTATTAGTACAGCTACTTAGTCTACTTATATTTAAAATGAATGGTTTGGGTAATTAAGACAGCAGGTCAGACTACTTAAGCAAGTTTAAGACGGGTTATAATGTCCAGCTTGTGTTTAAAACATTTTAGCGATGTCAATTAAACTACCTATGATTTTTGTTTTTATTATTTATTAATCTTCACATAATTTTCTCAACTAATCCATGAGTTTTTTTTAATCTATAAAATGCCAAAATGTTGAGGGAAACTGCAGATCACAAGCTCCCAGAGCCAAAGATGACACCTTCAGATGTCTTCTTTTGTCCAACCATTGGTCCAAACCCTGAAGTTGGTCAGTTTACAGTCATATACTACAGATAAAAGCAGCATATTTGCTGGAAAAATGAACGATGAATCGATTATGACAGACCTTAGTACAAGTATGAGTAAGACAAATGATCAAATCTGTTGCCAATTAATTTACTGTCTATTGATTGAGTGGTTAATAGGTGCAAAGGGAAATAATCAAGCTGCCATATAGTGAGGGGTTAACAGGGGCCCAACAAATAATTTTTGTCACAGGGGACCCCTGGGAGGTTAAGCCGGCCGTGGGGTAAACATTAGAAACACTTCAGTGTCACACTGCCAATATTCAACAGCCTCCACAACGTTCAACCAGACCTGAATTTCATAACCTTCATGAAGCTTTCGTACATGTTGTGTTAGACAACTCCACCTAGTTTATGACTGTTTGCAGTATAGTTACCTTTCTTTTCTCCTGCTTGAGTTTCATGAACATGAGGTGTCTTCGCTGCTTGTTCTTAATTTCGGACACACTGAAAGTGGGGGGGAAGGCAGCCGCTGCATCACTCTTCTCCATCTTTTCCTCTTTCTCCTCCGCTCCAGCGCCTTCTCCATTCCCCTCCTCACGCACACTCTTCTTGTTTGAATTCTTATTCTTCTTTTTCTTGCCTTTCTTGTCATCACTCACGGGAACCTCCGTGATATCCATTTTGTGTCAACTGGCTGTTTTTTTTCACGTGCGCTGCTGCTGCTTCTGGCTGCCTGTTCGTGTCTTCACGTCCGGGGACATGAGGTGATCGATTTGTGGTCGTCAATGAGAAAGTGGGACCCCTGGTGGTGCGGAGGAGAAACTGTGGAGACAACGTCACTTAACGTGTAAGTATTCCCTCCACTCTGGAATTCACTCCAACAAGACATCCGTAATATTCACAGCCTTTAGCGTACGTTCCAGGAACGTATTTTAAATGTTGCGACAGTAAGGTATAAACAGTCATAGTATGCTGAAACATAAAAAAGTCATAGTATAATAGGACATAAAAACATCATAGTGTAGTAAGGCATAAAAACGTCAAAGTATAGTAAGACATAAAAAGTCATAAAAAAGTAATAGTATAGTAAGGCATAAAATGTCATACTATAATAATACATAAAAGTCATTGCATAGTAAAACATAAAAAGTCATAGTATAATAAGGCACAAAAATGTCATAGCATAGTAAGGCATGAAAAAAAGTCATAGTATGGTATGGCATATAAACGTAATATAGTAGTGCATAAAAAAAGTCATACTATAGTAAGACATAAAAACATCATAGTATAGTGAAACATAAAACACAGAGAGGACCCTAGCACAGGGTTCGAACCCAGAACCTTCTCCCTGTGAGGTAATAGTTCTAACTATTGCACCACCATACTGACCCATAAAAAAAACATATTTTAGTAAAGCATGAAAACGTCATAGTATAGTAAGGCACGTAGTAAAGAAAAGCATAAAAAAGTCATAGTATAATAAGGCATAAAAACAACAAAGTATGGTAAGACATAAAAAGTCATAAAAAAGTAATAGTTTAGTAAGGCATAAAAATTCAAAGTATAATAAGGCATAAAAATGTCATAGTATAGTAAGGCATAAAAAGTCAAAGTATAGTAAGACATGAAAATGCTATAGTATAGTAAGACATAAAAAGTCAAAGTATAGTAAGGCATAAAAATGCCATAGTATAGTAAGGCATAAAAACATCATAGTATAGTTAGGCATACTATGTCATTTCTATGATTTTTTTAGGTCTTATTGTACCATGTCATTTTTATGTCTTTTTGTGCCTTACTATTCTATTACGTTTTTATGCCCTGCTATACTATGATTTTTGTATGCCTTTTTATGCCTCACTATACTATGATGTGTTTATGCCTTACTATACTATGTGTTTTTTTTTACTTTTTATGCCTTGCTATACTATGTCATTTTTAAGACTTTTTATGCCTTACTATACTATGTCATTTTTAAGACTTTTTGTTCCCTTTTCTACTATGTCATTTTTAAGATATTTTGATGTTTTGTTATACTATTTCGTTTTTATGTCTTTTTATGCCTTACTATACCATGACTTTTAAATCCATTTTCATCCCTTACTATACTATGACCTGTTAATGCCTTACTATACTATGTAGTTTTTAAGGCTTTTTATGCCTTATTAGACCATGACCTTTTCATGCCTTATTATACTGTAATTTTTATGACTTTTTATTCCTTACTATGCTATGATGTTTTCATACCTTACTATACTATGACATTTTTATGACTTTTTATCTCTAACTATACTTTGTGGTTAGTATGACTTTTTATGCCTTGATATAGTATGAAGTTTTGATGCATTCCTTCATGTTGTCATTTGTATGACTTTTTATGACTTATATATGTCATTTTGAACAATTTTAATGCCTCACCATACTATGTTGTTTTGATGACCTTTCACGCCTTACTATACTTTGACACTTTTATGACTTTTTATGCATTGCTATACTACCTTTTTATGCATTACTAAACTATGTCGTTTTTATGCCTTTTTATGCCTTACTATACTATGACTTTTCTATGCCTTACTATACTGTCATTTTTTTACTTTGTTGCCCTACTATACTATGTTGTTTTTAGTATTTTTTTACCTATACTATGACGTTTTTATGCCTTGCAATAGTATGCTGTTTGTATACTCTGCTATGTGCCTTACTATACTATGACGTGTTAATAACTCTTTATGCTTTACTATACCATGACGTGTTTATGCCTTACTGTATTGTGTTGTTTTTATGACTTTTTGTGCATTATTGTACTATGTAGTTTTTATGATTTTTGTTATATTACGATGTTTTTATATCTTACTATACTATGACTTTTGTATACCTTTTTATGCCTTACTATACTATGATGTATTTATGCCTTGCTATACTATGACCTGTTAATGCCTTACTATACTCTGTCGTTTTCAACACTTTTTGTGCCTTATTTTACTATGACTTTTTCATGCTTTATCATACTATGACATTTTCATGAATACTTATGCCTGTTGTTTTTATGACATTTTATGCATTGCTGTACTATGAACTTTTTATGCATTACTATACTAAGTTGCTTTTTTGACTTTTCATGCCTTACTATTTTATGACGTTTGTATGCCCTCCTATACTACTACTTGTTGTTTGTATGACGTTTTATTCCTTACTATACCATGTCGTCTTCATGACTTTATATGCCTTAATGTACTATGATGTTTTTATGCCTTACTATACTATATCTCTTTTATGACTTTTTGTGCCTTACTATACTATGCCATTTTTATGACTTTTTATGCATTACTATACTATGACCTTTTAAAGCCTTATTATACCATGTCGTTTTAGTGACTTTTTATGCATTACTATATTATGTCGTTTTAAAAACTTTTTATGCCTTACTATACTATGTCATTTTTTTGCCTTTTTTTGCCCTACAATACTATGTTGTTTTTAGTATTTTTTGCCTTACTATACTATGTCATTTTTTTAAACTTTTTTTTCCTTACTATACTATGTTGTTTTTAGTATTTTCTTGCCTTATTATACTATACTACTTTTTATACATTACTATACTATGACCATTTAATACCTTATTATACTGTTTCGTTTTTATGACTTTTTATTCCTTACTATAGTATGATGTTTCTATGCCCTAATATACTATGTCATTTTTATTACTTTTTTTTTTACCAAACTACAGTATGTCATTTTTTTTTTACATTTTTTGCCTTACTATACTATGTCATTTTTGTATTTTTTTGCCTTACGATACTATATCATTTTATTTGCCTTTTTTTGCCTTACTATACTATGCCGTTATTATGACTTTTTATGCATTACTATACTATAACCTTTTAATACCTTATTATACTGTCGTTTTTATGACTTTTTCTGCCTTACTATACTATGATGTTTCTATTCCATACTATAGTATGTCATTTTACATTTTTGTCATTATACTATGACATTTTAATGCATTATTATATTGTGTCTTTTTTTTAAAATTTTTTTACCTTACTATACTATGTCTGTTTTATGACTTTTTCTGCCTTACTATACTATGATGTTTCTATTCCATACTATAGTATGTCATTTTACATTTTTGTCATTATACTATGACATTTTAATGCATTATTATATTGTGTCTTTTTTTTGCCTTCCTATACTATGTCGTTTTTATGACTTTTTATGCCTTACTTTACTGTCTTTTTTATGACTTTTTATGCCTTACTATACTATGACCTCTTTATGCCTTATTATACTATGTCATTTTAAATACTTTTTATGCATTACTGTACTATGATGTTTTCATGCCTTACTATGCTATAATGTTTTTATGAGTTTTTGTGCTTTGATATAATATGACATTTGTATGAATATTTATGCCATACTATAGTGATGTTTTTTTTTTACCTTTTATGCTTTTCTGTATTGTGTTGTTTTCATGACTTTTTATGCATAAATAAACGATTTAATGCCTTCCTTTATTTTGTTGTTTGTATGACTTTTTATTCCTTACTATAACATGTCGTCTTTATCACATTATATGCCTTAATATACTATGATGTTTTCATGACTTTTTATGCCTTACTATACTATGACGTTTTTATGACTTTTTATGCCTTACTATAGTGTGACTTTTTATGCCTTACAATACTATGTCGTTTTGATGACTTTTTATGCCTTGCTATACTATGACTTTTTATGCTTTACTATACTATGACGTTTTTATGGCTTTTTATGCCTTACTATACTATGACGTTTTTATGCCTTACAATACTATGTCGTTTTTATGACTTTTTATGCCTTGCTATACTATGACTTTTTATGCTTTACTATACTATGACGTTTTTATGGCTTTTTATGCCTTACTATACTATGACGTTTTTATGCCTTACAATACTATGTCGTTTTTATGACTTTTTATGCCTTACTATACTATGACTTTTTATGCCTTACTATACTATGTCGTTTTTATGACTTTTTATGCCTTACTATACTATGACGTTTTTATGGCTTTTTATGCCTTACTATATTATTACTTTTTATGCCTTACTATAATATGACGTTTTTATGACTTTTTATGCCTTACTATACTATGTCGTTTTGATGACTTTTTATGCCTTGCTATACTATGACTTTTTATGCCTTACTATACTATGTCGTTTTTATGACTTTTTATGCCTTACTATACTATGACGTTTTTATGGCTTTTTATGCCTTACTATACTATGACGTTTTTATGACTTTTTATGCCTTACTATACTATTACGTTTTTATGACTTTTATGAGAACTTTGTTAATGGCCTTAGCGTAACTCATACTATGGATGGACTATTTTAGTGGCCTCAAAAATACCTATGTGTGTGGTAATGCTGTTTTTTGAAGGTCCTTACTATAATAACTAACTAGAATAGATTTTTTATTGACTTTTTAATGCCTTTTAACTTAATTTACTATGACCATTTTTTATGCTTACTATAAAGATTTGTACGAAAGCTCCATGAGCTCGTCTTTGATGAGATTATATTGCCTTAATGAAAAACTTTATGATATCTTTTTTAAGTCTTAACTTATACTTATTTAAATTTTATTGATAGTTTTTTTAAATGGCAACTAATAAGTATTTGTGTATTATTAAATGGCCTTACATAACTATTCGTTTTTATGACTTTTTATGCCCTTACTATACTATATTTTTATGACTTT